AAAAAAAAAAAAAAAAAAAACGAGATAAAAACAGAGAATAGGTGCTGCAACGTGTCTAAAAATTTACCTGTTCTTCATATGGACCAGACCACGAATGAGTTTCTTTAATTTCCTGACGAAGGCGCATTAGAGCTTTGCCACCTTGATTTTCACCATCCCAGAATATCGGTTTGTTTGCTTCATCACGGTTCTTACGCCAACCAGTCCCAAAGACCTAAATTTGTCACAAAGTCAACAAGTCCATTATTACAGTAAATGCAATGGCCCGTGACAAATGGCATCATAAGAATTTGCTGGAGAGATTTTTGAAGGCACCCAAAACGTCACCTTATCTTGAGAAGCCACTGCAATATAAGTTTTGCCTGTATAAACCAGTAAATTTGTAATCCATCGGGTTTGCTCTAGCTTAAGACGCTGCCCAGCTTCCCAAACAGCCATTTTGACCTGCAGAAAATAACTGTAAGCACTCACAATTAATATGAAAACTTCAACAAAAATGAATTCCTTTACCTCATTCCATTTACTCTCATCAAAATCTTTAATTTCTTTCATAGCTTCTTCTGCTTTCATTGTGGAAGGAGCATCAAGTATCTTTGTCATGGTTTCTGTATCACCAAAATGTTCCGCCATTTTATACCTAGGGAGTGAATAAATCTAAGTGCCAATATAAATGATACAGGTTAAATATCTAAAGGAACAAAAAAACCACAAAAAAGCCATAAAATAATGAAAAAATTGCTGAAACTGTTAAAATTACCAATAATAACGTTCCGCTGACTTATGCTCTGTGCCGTGCTCATCACGAATGGTAACCTCATAACGTAAACTAAGCGGATCTTGAGTACCTGGAGCAGCAGTAAAGCGTTTAATTGGAACTTTGAGCCAATTAATCGCTGGAGTTTAATGAAAGAAAATTTTGTATAACAAAATTTACTGCTTCATAGTAACTTTAAAAAGTTTTATCTGGAGAGACCTCCTACGAGAATAAAGTCACGGCCAATTTCATCGTAATCGAGGTCAATTTCAGCAGCACCAACTTTCATCTTATCTGGATCGCTATTGCCGCCTGTCAAACCGTTAAGCGTTTCTTGCATCCGCTTTAGCTTCTGCTTTACTCTAGCATTCTCTAACTAGAACTATGCGTATTAAGGACTGCTCTTTCAGAAAAATCCTACATAGTGACCTTCTCGAAAATTTGGAACATACCTTCAGCTTACGGACTGCTTGGCGCAAATTATCCTTTTCTTTTTCCAGAAGGACGACCGCATTCCGAATGTGCATCGAATCTTCTTTAATCCAAACAATCTCCTAAAATACGGAACAAGTTCATCTATTTCCTTATAGTTTCAGAAAATGACGAGTAACTGGAAGCAATATTTCCAATAAATGCCAACTCA